GGCTCGGTGGCTCAGCCTGTAATCCCACGGCTTGGGAGGCTGAGGTGAGTGGATGCCCTGAGCCCGTGGGTTCGAGACCCAACTGGGCAACTTGGCGAGACCTCATCTCTACAATAAATAAAAAATCAGCCGGGCATGGTAGCGCGTGCCTGTAATTCCGGCTACTCGGAAGGCTGAGGCGGAAGGATCGCCGGAGCCCAGCAGGTCAAGGCTGCGGTGGCCAGGAGCGGCCACTGCACTCCAGTCTGGGCTGCAGAGCAAGACTACAACTCAAAAAAAAAAAAAAAAATAAGATTAATACTCAAGTCTCTAACTTCTTTCCATGATGTTGCAATGACTAGTATGGGCAGAGCCACCCACCTACCCTATGGTGGATAGACTGAAATGTGTCTTACGTTTGAGAGTTCTGTGAAATCCTGAGCAGTATGGCTGTGAAATGTGAAATCATCGAGTGTTTTTCTTCTATTTTATGTGTGAAACTTGGGCATATATACTTAATTATCCTATGCCACAGAAAGATAACCCACTTAGATTATCTTATATAGGGTTGCATTTAAGTCTGTTACCAAGACGAAAGTTAAGTTTATTTTATTAAGTGAATATACCCACATTGTGTGTGATTATAAATTTTTCCTTTTTTTCTCTAGCAATGAAGCTTGGAGATACATGGGTGGCTTTGCGAACAATGTTTCCTTTGTTGGTGCATTATTAAAAGGATTCAAATGGGGATTTGCTGCATTTGTGGTAGCTGCAGGGGCTGAATACTACCTGATGTCCCAAAATAAAGATGAGAAGCATCACTGAAGATATTATGTGCAAGGATCTTAGTGGCTTCTTAACTCTCCAAAATAATATTTCTTAACTGTAACCTACTTTTCTGTGTGTTTGATCCTTCAAGAATATTAGTAAGAGTTAATAAAGAAAAACATACACCAGTCTGTTTTTGTCGTTCTTTAAAAAAAAAGTCTCAAACCTTAGCAGATTTGGTTTAGAATATATGTGGGTTGGGAACCAGCAGCTGTACATTATGCATACAGCAGGCAGCCAGCATATACTTGAGCAAATGGAAATGTTCTTATTTATTTATTATTATCATCATCATTATCATCATTATTTGGTTGGATTCTTCTTCTGTAACCCAAGCTGGAGCGCAGTGTCCCAATCACAGCTTACAGCTTCCACCTCCTTGGCTCAGGTAATCCTCCTGCCTCAGCGTCCTTTGTAACTGGGACTATAGGCATGTACTCCCACTCCCAGCTTTTTTTTTTTCCACTTTTGTAGAGATGAAGTCTCACTGTGTTGCCCAGGCTGGTCTCAAACTCCTGGGCTCAAGCAGTCCTCCTTCCTTGGCCTCCCAAAGTGCTGCTAACAAGTTTTTAAATGGAAGTTGGCCTTATACTGCCTGCTTCAGGTGATTTAGAGGAACCTAGATCATACTGTAAATACTGTGAATACTTACTGCTCTGTTCTAGTTGACATATCCCATATTCATTTTTTCTTTATATTGTGGTATTTTCTACTCTTGCCTTAGTTCCTACTGTTCCTATGTTGTGAAGAACCTTCCATTTTTCTTCCACATTTCTAACAATAAACTAGACATTCTCCGCCACATCATTGACGTGTACATTTTGAATTAATTAAATCTCTAAGATTTAAAACTTGTTGAGGAATGATGGTAATTCTGCCTGAATAATGAGGCTAATATAAAATCCGTGGGTAATACTTTTCTTTATAAATTTCTTGTTTACAAATGTAAACTTGAGCAATACTAAATACATGAGACGAATTTCTAATATGCTGGTGGTGGTAAATGGAATGTGTTAAAATAGAATAAAAAAGAATGCAAAAGAAAATAAGGAAAGAGTTTTAGAAGGAACAAAGAGCAATGGGACAAATAGAAATAGCAAGATGATAGATTTACACTTAATCATATTAAATGTAAATAATCTAAAGGTTAAACTCATTTCAATTAAAAGAGATTGTTAGGCCAGGCACAGTGGCTCATACCTGTAATCTCAGTATTTTGGGAGGCCAAAGTAGGTGGATTGCTTGAGCCAGGAGTTTGAGACCAGCCTGGGCAACATACAGAAACCTCAACTCTACAGAAAAAAAGAGGCTGGGTGCAGTGGGTCACACCTATAATCCCAGCATTTTGGGAGGCTGAGGTGAGAGTATTGCCTGAGCCCACAGATTCGAGACCAGCCTGGCAATTTGGTGAGACCTCATCTCTACAATAAATCAAAAAATCAGCTGGACATGGTGACCTGTGCCTGTGATCCCAGCTACTTGGAAGGCTGAGGTAGAAGGATCACCTGAGCCCAGCAGGTCAAGACTGGTGGCTGTGAGCAGGCCACTGCACTCCAGCCTGGGCACATAGTTGAGACTGACTCAAAAAAATATATATATTAGTTGGATGTGGTGGTGCATGCCTGTAGTCTCAGCTACTGGGGAGGCTGAGACAGATCACCTGAGCACAGCAAGTTGAGGCAGCAGTGGCTGTGATAGTGCCACTGGATTCCAGTTTGGGTGACAGAGTGAGACCCCCAACTAAAAAAAAAAAAAAAAATTGTCAGACCTAACTGTAAACTAACTATATAACCCCTTCAAAGGGTGAAAGTAAAAGAATGGAGAAAGCTATACCATGCAAACAATAAGGAAAAGAATGTTAAAGTGGTGATGTTAATAACAGATAAAGTAGATTGTAGAATAAAGAAATTACCTGTGATAGAGAATAAACCTGTGATGGAGACATCTCATAATAAAAAGGTAATTTCATTAAGAGGACAAAATCTTACATGTGTATGCACAGAACTTCAAAATACATGAAGTAAAAACAAATAGAACTTGAAGAAATAGACAAAACAATTATGTTTGGAGATTTCAACACTTCTTTCTAAATTGATAGAACAATTTAATTGTTCTATCAATTTAATTAAATCAATTCTACAATTTCATTAAATCAATTCTAAATTGATAGAACAAATAGTAAGGCTGCAACTTGATGTAATATTTAGAGAACCCTCTACCTAATGAAAGCAGAACACATTCTTTTTAAGTACACATGGAGCATTTACTACAATATACTATATTCTGGGCTATAAAAAAGACTCAATGCATTTAAGAGAACTGAAATTGGCCGGGTTGGGTGGCTCAGCCTGTAATCCCAGCACTTTGGGAGACTGAGGCGAGTGGATTGCCTGAACCCACGGGCTCGAGACCAGCCCTGGCAACTTGACGAGACCTCGTCTCTACAATAAATCAAAAACATTAGCTGGGCATTGTAGTGCATGCCTGTAGTTCTGGCTACTTGGAAGACTGAGGCAGAAGAATCACCGGAGCCCAGTCGGTTGACACTGGGGTGGCCATGAGCAAGCCACTGCACTCCAGCCTGGGTAACAGAGTGAGGCTTCAACTCAAAAAAAAAAGAACTGAAATCACACAAAGTATATTCTCAGAACACATGAAGAGTAACCTAACAACATCTGAAAAATCTACAAATATTTGGAAATTGGATGGCACCCTTATAAATGCCTTTTGTTCAGAAAAGTCTAGGAAAAGTAGAAAAGTATTTTTAATTGTATAAAAATGAAAACAAATATTAAAATTTGTGGGTTGCAGCTAAGATTGTCAGCTAAACTGATGAAGAAAAAGGACAAAAATGCAAGATCAGTAATGAAACATGGGACACCACTACAGATATTAGGTACATTAATAGGGCATTGTACAGACAACTTTATGCCAATAAGTTTGAGGTTTGGGGGGTTTTTTTAGTTGACGTCTCACTCTGTCACGCAGGCTAGAGCGCAGTTGGCACACTTATGGCCACCACAGTCTTGACCTGCTGGGCTCAGGTGATCCTTCCACCTCAGACTTCCAAGTAACTGGAATTACAGGCACACACCACTACACCTGGCTAATTTTTTGATGTATTATAGAAACAAGTTCGCGCCAAGTTGCCTAGGCTGGTCTCGAACCCCTGGATTCAGATAATCCTCTCACCTCTGCCTCCCAAAGTGTTGGGATTATAGGCGTGAGCCACTGCACCCAACAAATTTGAATTTTGTGTTTTTGTTTTGTTTTGTTTTTCTGAGTCGGAATCTTACTCTGTCATCCAGGCTGGCACTCCACAGCCTTGATCTGCTGAGCTCAGGCAATCCTTCCACCTCAGCCTTCCAAGTAGCTGGAACTACAGGCACACACCACCATGCCTGGCTAATTTTTTTATTTATTGTAGAGACGAGGTCTCACCAAGTTGCCCAGGCTGGTCTCGAACCCGTGGGATCAGGCAATCCTCTCACCTCAGCCTCCCAAAGTGCTAGGATTACAGGCTTGAGCCACCACGCCTGGCCACCTGAATTTCTTAGTAGCTGCAAAGCATACCTATCATCTGGCTATTGCCATTACTTGAACTAGAACCAATTTAATGGTCTTAAAATGTGTGACCAAAGTATTATGTTGTTGCAAAAGTAATTGCGGTTTCAGATCGTGAATTTTCAATCATTATAACTAGGCTAAAGCACATCTTTATTAATCAAAATAGAAACCATTATCACAACACAACACATTTTTGCCAATGAGAAATAAATTCGTTTATTCCTGTAGTGTAAAAATCAGGATTCGACAAACTCTTAGAAAGCATTTTCTATATCCTGCTTGTTATGGAAGCATTGTCCCTACAAAAAGTCATCGAGATGCTTGAAGAAGTGGTAGTTGGTTGGCTAGAGGTCAGGTGAATATGGTGGATGAGGAAACTTCGTAGCCCAATTTGTTCAACTTTTGAAGTGTTGGTTATGCAATATGGGGTCAGGCGTTGTCGTGGAGAAGAATTGGGCCCTTTCTGTTGACCAATGCCGGCTGCAGATGTTGCAGTTTTTGGTGCATCTCATTGATTTGTTGAGCATACTTCTCAGATGTAATGGTTTCACCAGGATTCAGTCAGTCAGACTGGCAGTAGACCACAAAACAGTGACCATGACCTTTTTTTGGTCCCAGATTGGCTTTGGGGAGTGCTTTGGAGATTCTCGGTCCAACCCCTGGGGCTGGTCATCACCAGTTGTCCTTTACAATCCACTTTTCTTTTTTTTTTTTTTTTT